GCAAAGTGAAATTCTGAAATGTTAGAAAATACAGAAATTATCAGTGTGACCTATATTAAACCACCTTATTGTATGGTCTTAGTATCCTTTGCCCTCCAGAAAGACTGCAAAACTTTGTTTCTGTTACCACTGTTAAAGATGTACCATGAGACTGGTAACTGATTCTGCAGATTGTTTGGAAGATGAAGCACAGAGATGTATTTCAAACAGAAACTTGCAGTCCAAAGTTTTTTAGGTTGTGAACACTGCCCAGGGCTGACGTCTCACCTTTTCTGAGGTGATCCAGGAGACTGTGGATTAAAGAGAGTTTGTGTTCATGAGGTTGGGCTCTACATGTAAAGTGCCTCTATGACTGGTAGCCACTGATACAAATAGTAAAAAAAAAAATCATAGAATCGTAGAATGGTTTAGGTTGGAAAAGACCTTAAATATCATCCAGTCCAACCACCCTGCCATGGGCAGGGACACTTCCCACTAGACCAAGTTGCTCAAAGCCCTGATCAACCTGGCCTTGAACCCTTTCAAGGAGGAGGCATCCACAACTTCCCTGGGCAACCTGTGCCAGTGTCTCAGCACCCTCACAATAAAGAATTTCTTTCTAATATCTAGACTAAATCTACTCTCTTCCAGTTTAAGATCATTAGCCATTTTTTTATTGCTACCTGCCCTTGTAAAAAGTCCCTCCCCAGCTTTCCTATAGGACCCCTTCAGGAACTGGAAGGCAATAAGGTCCCCCCAGAGCCTTCTCTTCTCCAGACTGAACAATCCCAAATGATTTGCTGAAAATCTGTATAGTAAAATGCAGTTAAAGAACTATACCTCTGTAGAATTTTAGTGTAGGTTTCTTTAAAAAAATTTTGGGAAATGAAGTTTTTTTCTGCATTTGCAGGTAAACAAGATAAGTTTAAACATATAATTCACCTGAGAGTTTTAACCTTCGAAGAAAGGTACTATTCATAGAAAGTAACTGTTGTAGTTTTTGCTTGCAGCTGTTGGAAAGCTGTTCAGAACTCCAGCAAAACTGAAATGGAGTGTGAAGAGATGAGTTAATAAATAGACTGCAAATGAATAGGCTTCACAATGACAGGCAGATGCAGTTTCCATATTAATATACACCCTTCATTTGAACAAGCGAAGAGAATGTTGTGCATATAAGGGAAAGAAAAGATGATAGTCTTTTGCATTTTTTGTATCACGTTAGTGAAAATAGCACAATAAGTATTCCAGATAGTAGGTGGGTGTTGCAAACAAAACAAAAAGCAATAGCTGTTGTATTTAGGATTTCCAAAATAGTGATCAATAGGAAGGACATAAAAATATTTTGGTTGTCTTAGTTTATCAGATAACCAGTTTTTCTCAGTCTTAGTGACAATAAAAGTTTATTGGGTTCTATCAAATCTGTTTTAATTTATTGCAAACAATAAGCATTCTTGAATTTCTTATATAACACTGAACATACAAAGGTGGAATTTTATTCTTAGTAGTAGGTAGGAAGAAGCTGGCTGTTGGATAGCTGAGATTCAATATTCATCCAGTACATTCCTAACTTAGATTTTTAAAAATAATCTGGAATTAATTTTTTGTTTAGTTTTAATCATGTTAGAAAACACTAGGGAACTGTTTCATTTGGTTAACGTTGCCTCCACCATCTAGATGTAATTTTCTTGATGATCAGGTTCTTCTACCTCAAGTAATAATTACTCAACAGATTTGAAACCTGCCTTCACATCTGACAGAATTTACATATGAAGTGTTAAAAGACTGCCTTTGAAAATCTTGGCTCTTGTAGCTCAAGTACTCAAGTACTTCCATTTTTGGAAGAATATTGTTTTTCATAACATTTGGCAATTCAGGTTCCTTTATTGGCTGAAATGTGAAATCAAAATTAATTCATCCATATATTTTAAAAAACCTTACAGTATCCTTGCACTTTTGGCAATTAAAATGCAGCTTGCTAGAGTTGTCTGTTTTGGAATTAGTGACTGTGCATCACTATTATCTTTTCTTGACAGAGATAAAATTTGATTAAGCTGAAGGAGATTTGGACACACTTGCATTTTTCAGAGAGATACTCACTCCTATTTGGTCCAAGAAAATGAATAATAAAATCATAGTGTTGCTTGTCTGTCTAGGGTTTAGGTGAAGAGTTAGTAGTAATTTCTATAAATCTCCGATGGGTATGATGCTTATATAGGTTCAAAGACCTTTCTGGCTGTGATCATAAAAGCTGTTGATGTGATGAAGAGGGAATGCATACTCTTACTGACTTTTTTTTTCAGATCTAGTCTCTACAAAATCCAATGTAGGCTTACTATGTTTGTTTGTTTGCTTGATTTTTTTTTTTTTTAATCCTGAAATACAAATGTGAAAATTAATTTTGTGGTCATCTCCAACTGGATATATTCAACTTTGCTCAATGTCCCTCTTTTTTCAAGGCAAAGAAAAGTCAGTGCGAAGCTTGTAGATTAATTAAAAATAAAACTATAATTCTTATTTAGAATCTTGTTTATTTGTAAGCATCTAAATACGCTTACATTTTTCATCTTCTCTCTGTTGTGTCAAATTTTCATCACATCCTTGTCTTACTTAACAATGCAAGCCTGGCATAAGTAAAAACCAAAACCAAAAGAGTCCTTTCTGATCTTCTAGTAATCTATGCCAAGGAGACGTAAGCTAAAGGTGCCCTATTTGTGTTTATTAAACCTTAATGAATTCTTTTCTCATCAAATCTGGCCTATAGCTTTGTAACACATGCCAACTTTTGATGTATTCACACGTTCAGCTTTGTTTCTGCATGGTGTGAAAAAGTTCTTCTTGTCTGTCCTGAACCTTGCATGGAGCAGTTTCATTTGATACCACCTTGTATTAGAAGAGAAGCATGGATGCTCGTACTTTATTAATGTTCTTGCTGTTCCTGATTTTGTAGTCTTGTATCTGGCTTGTAGGCATAGTCAATTGAGCTGTTCCTTGTACCAAACTTGCGTCACTCTTCGGATCATCTTACTTGTCTTTCTCTTATCCCTTTTTCATTTCCTTTAGACCTCTTTTTTTTTTTTTAAATGGGAAGAAGAGAAATGTATACGTTGTTCATTGTAGTGTGCCTCATGAGTTAATAAAATCTGTGATTTATGAAGATCCTCTGTCCTCCCTTCCTCTCCTAGTAATTTCTAGCCATCTATTTACTTTCTAAACTAAGTTATCTGATGTCTTTATAGTATTATTATAACCCCAAGATCTTGTTTCTGAATTATGTCAGTTCTGAGTCCATCTATTTATGAGTGCGTTGAACAGTACAGGCCTCAAGGATACTTTTAACTCTTTAAAAGGAAATTGCTAGATGAACAGCTGTATAATTTTGGATGTGTAAAAGTTAACAAATTCTTTAGTGTATATGAGCCCCATGGTTTGTTCACATGATTATGTCTACATGTTTCACAGGACAATTTTAATTCAAAACATTACACTGATATAAAGCATGCAACAAAAATATCTGTTACAGATGGAGCATGCATGTTATTGCGTATTGCAATGTACTAAGGTACAAATGAGAATAACTCTAGGATGATGTTTTGCCACAGAAAGTCTTGCATTTTTTCTTAATAGCAAGAATCTCCCCCTCCTCTGCTAAACAGAAAGAGTTTAGTGATAGGAAAACTGGTATTGCTGAATGAAAAATGGGAACAGCAATGCACTTGAGACTTGGCTTGCAACTAGTTTAACAAATGAGAAAATGTAGGGACGTTAAGCAGTAGAAGTGATGAAAGATTTGTTGAACTTACTTTATTTGGAAAGATTAACAGAATAGAATCAGAAGGCCTCCTAGTTTTTGAATGAATTAAACTTATACAGCTTAATCTTCAAGTACTGATTCAGTGAAAAGATATGTATTGTTTACTTTCAAGTGTCAGCAGTTCTCAAAGATGTTTTCTTTAGTTTTGTTTTAATTGTCCTTTCTTATTTGTTTCTTAAATACTTTGCCTCCTCCTCTATAGATACTACTTTTATTTTTTAAAACTGGGACTAGTGCTGCTTTTCCATGTTTTAAGAGAACTCCAGAATAAGCTCCATCATAAGCTGCTTTGTCCTCATAGCTCAATACCTTGTGTGCTTTCCTTATTACTTGCTCGTCCCTCACCCCCATTTGATGATTGATTTAAGTTTTAACTCAGTCTCAGAATGCCTGTGCCTCCTCCACTCAGAGCCAGACTTAATCTTCCCGTTATGGTTGGAGTCCACATGGGTTTTATCTTTATGTTTTTCTTGCAACTTTTCCACAAAGGGAGATTTTGTTCCACTGTAAGGTCTTACATTGTTGTTCTAAGTGGTATAGCTGACTTGATAGTATTCCAAGGTTCAGGGTCATACAGTGCTAAGCACATTGCAGAAATATGCAGTAATGTCAAAGACAGTTTCTGTTGCAGTTATTACAGCCTTTTGACAGTAGGTCTCGCACATTAGATTTTGAGGGTGCAACTGAGTTCTTGTCTTACTTCTGTTTATCTACTTATAGGACATTCTTTATTACTCTATATAAGCTCATCTCATAATGGGGTTTTTTCTGGATAATTTAAATGTAATTTTGGTGATCACAAGCTCAGTAATAGGATGATGTTTAATTAAAATAATCATTTATAGAATAGTTATTTGCTAGAGGTTGGGACATACTTTGAAGTTTGTGCTGTAAAGAAATAATTATTTATTCCCAATTACTGACTTCCATTTCTGGGGCTAAAGCACCTATAGAATGTCACTAGTCTAGAGTACAACTGATCTGTTTTTTAGGAAGGAGTACACCATTCCTGACACTAAACTTTTAAAAATGTTTTTTCCCTGCAACTACTCATGTAGGATTTCATATACAGGAAGAAGTTTTCAGAAGATAAACCAAGATTTAATGCTACCTGGGTCTATCAGCAGTAGCTGTTGATTGGCTGAAGTCATACGTATGTAATATATATGTTCAAGGAAAAGGACTTCATTATATTCTTGTGTGCCTCTAGGAGTCCGGAAAGACCGCAGAGGTGGGCGAATGATGAAACAAAAACGTCAAAGAGAGGAGCAGGATTCCAGGAATGGGGAGGCTTCTACAGAGCTACGAGCTCCCACCCTCTGGACAAGTCCACTGGTGGTTAAACATAGCAAGAAGAACAGTCCAGCCCTGTCCCTGACAGCAGAACAGATGGTCAGTGCTTTGCTGGAAGCGGAACCACCCATAATTTATTCTGAATATGACCCAAGTAGACCCTTCAATGAAGCCTCTATGATGACCCTGCTGACCAACCTTGCAGACAGAGAATTAGTGCACATGATCAACTGGGCAAAGAGAGTTCCAGGTAAGAAAAAAAAAGCCTAAACGGACTATAAAAGCCACTACTTGACAAACCATTAATAAAAAGACATACCAGTTTTCACAGTACATATTCTAATTTAATGCAAATTGTTCATTTAAGTATAAATACATTAAAAGTATCACAAATTTTATGTTATATTGGTTGGTAAAAAACTATAGTACAGTGTAAGTGACTTCTGAAGAAAGACACAGTCATGAAAATATACTTCCCCATGCTATAGAACGTTGCACAGTTTTTTGACTGCAAATACATTTTTTTAGTGAAAAATAGCAAAATAAAAGGTAAAACCAGACTATTAAAAGCCTAATCTAATCAATTTGATCTAATCAAATTATGTTATCATTTAGATCCCTTTTGAAAAAAGAGTTACTCTCCTGTCTGTAGGGTAAGCCATGAATTCAGGATCACCTCTGAGCCCATAAGTATTGGTATTATTTATTTAATTGCCAGTTTGTCTTTTTGACCTTTACTTACAGATCTTCCATGGGTTTTGGGTCTGAAGAACAGAGACAGAATAGCAATTTTTGCATAATTTTTTTTTCCTACTGGAACTAGGTATTTTTATCTTTATCATTTTGCTGCATCATGGTTGCTGAGCTACGACCCCTCTTTTCCGGAAGTGAATTACAGAATTGTGGGAAGTATGTAACATTTTTGGCTGAATGTATGTTACACATTCATTCATGTGGTTTAATTAATTTATATCAATGAAATAAGAGAGCATTTTTGTAACTAAAATTCATAATAGTTTAAAATTTCAGTCTACAAGGCTACTTTTCATAAGTTAATATTTAAATATTTATTAGAAATTTATTGCACACGCTGTACTTTTAGCTTTGTAAAAATACTGGCATACACGGTAATTTATACTTTATAAATCACTGAGATTTTCTTCTCTTTAATTTTTACTTTAGCAATTTATTTCATTAAAATTATGTAGCTGCTTTATGAAGGAATGTTAGAGAACACTACCACAGCTCTTACTCTCATAGTGCATTACCTCAGCAGCATTACACACAGGTTATGTCATTTTTTCTGTTTTCCTTAATTTAAACTTGGCAAGACTCTTCCTGGTAAATCAATAACCCATAAAATCTGAGTCTTTTCCAGTCCTCATGGGTACCATTTTCACCACTTTTCACATGTCACTTTGTGGACTCCAGCTATGATCAATGAGAACCTCTGTGCATTACATTTCTCATCATATCTTATAAGAAATCACCTGAGAATTTTATTCTTTATTCTTGACAAAGCCACAGTAGTTAAGGTCTGATCCACAGTCTGTGCAGGTCAAGGGCCAGTTCTCTTCTTGATTTAGGTATGCTTTGGATCATGCTTTTACAAAATGCTTTTGAAAAATGAACATGTGTCTATAGTGTTAAAGCTATTCACTATCAAAACAGCTGAATTCAAATGACTTTCCTACTGATTTTAGAGATATAATTAGTCTAAGTCTGTTAAAATCCATAATCTACATTCAACAAGAATATACCACATTCTAAATTCATTATGTTGTCCAACTGGAAACACTTGTCTTCTCTGACGATTTATTTTGATAGTTAATGCAATTAATGAAAATGTGTTTAGATACAAAACAAAACTGTTAGGGAACTCAGATCTGTTTTTTATTCAGAAATCTCTCTAAAACTGCTTGTCACAAGAATATTACATCTGGTGAAGATCAGAAAACTGCCTGGTTTACTAAATATATCCTTTATTTCCTAAGCAAGCTTCTGAAATTTGAAAATCAAATGTATAAGGTTATCAGCTATTCGTGTATAGCCAGTGTATTTTACTTTTAAATAAATATGTCTGTTAATTGTCAAAATAGCTCCTAGGGATAAACTAAGCCAAATTATTATATGCGTATGCATTAATAAGTACTGTAACAGGTGAGGTTTTATATAAAACTAGTGAACTTTGGTTTAAAAAAACACATTTCCAGTCACAGTTTGAACTATTAATCATTATAAAAGCAATTGTACCAAAGGAAAGTCCAAAAGCAGGAGAGAGAGAATATAAATAATTTTGGAATTCCAAAAGTGCTGGACACCTAGCTGTTTCTTGGTGTTGTGGCTTGGAGGACAGTGTGCATGATCAAAACCCGAAATAAATGTATTTTAGAAACTTGATTCAAAAGAATTCTGGCCCAATCGATTATCTACCTCTAAAATAATGTCCTCTGAGATTAGTTTTGAAGCTAGATGCTTAAATCTTTATTTTGATCTCTCATTTAGTCCCTAGAAAAAGTTGAGTGTTCTTAGTTTTTTGGTACTAAATCTTAGAAGTACTGATCACCTTTCAAAGACAGGGCCTTTGCTTGAACTGGTTGCCTTAGTTTCCTTCTGCTGGAATGTGCTGGCAATAGATGTACATAAAGAGGAATGTGTCTGGCAATAGAAGTCGCATTTTCACCTCCACAGTATGTTGCCTTTGAATACTCCATTTTTACTAGGAATTATGCAATACTGCTTAATTAGAGAAGATAATTGTGTACTTTATGCATAAACAGATAAACTGAATAACTTTTTTCTGTTAGGTGAAGTATTTCATGCAACAGCATTGTGGGATTCCACTGTTATTTTCTCAGCTTATTTACAAAGGTTTCAAGCTTTACAATCAAGGGTAAAACTATCTATTTCTAAAAATGGAATGTGCTCTTTACCAGTATAGATAAACTGCTGCAGGAAACAGCCTGTCCTATGCATAGCTCTCAATCCTTAGAAGCATTGCACAAATTCATTTAGCTAAATACAGGCACTTAGTTGATGGAAAGTAAGGAGTGATTGGCTGGGTTGAAATCATATTTGTCGAGGAAGGAAGAAATTCATATTAACAGAGCAGAAGTGCAATGAAGATACAGCTTACAAATGTGTAAGGACTTTCAGGGACATGTTTGGAGTTTATTTTGCTGTGTAGGCTTTAAGGAATGGGGAGCGTGTCAAAGCAACTAGCAAAGACATTTGGTCAGTCAGCCTTTCTGATGATGTAAATACATCAGGGCATGGAACAAGAAATGGCTAATTAGAAGATGCACTGGGTCAAAGTGAATCTATTCTACAAGAAGAAGTAATGAAAATTATTATATGATGGACTGTGTAGTATAATGTAGACAGAGATCTGTTATAAAGACATGCTGAGGACAATCTCCAAAATGAGGTATTTTTGCAGACATGGCCTGACTGGGAAGATGACAACTTGTCTAAAACTTTATTGCAGCTTGTTCATCATTAGTTCAAACTTGTTTAACTGGACTCTGCAGTCTTGGTGGTGTTAATGAATTGCTGGGGAAAATAAGACTTGAGGCAGATGCTTGTGCATAACCTTAAAAATATTCTTCAATGTTTAACTATGAAATGATTGCTAAGTGAGGTCTTAACAAAGTTCTCCCATGATAGTACAACTCATAATATGCCAAGTGAATAAAATCTTATTTTAGTTTTAATTTGAAACCTTTGCCATTGATAGAAGTGGGTTTGCCAGATTACATGAACAAAAATCCTGTAGAGTGTCATATACATATACAAAAAATTCGGGATGTCTCACAGGATTTGCTCTTTACATGGCATAATGGGGATTTTTGGCTTAAGTCCTCCCATATGGGCTCTGTAAGACACCAGTGGTGCCTTCTGATTATGCCAGCCAGCTGGAACAGCACGCTGCTGCACATCAGGTGGGTACAAACAGATTGTGATTGGCTAGACTTTACATACACAGGTTTAAGTGAGCATATTGGTGTTGGGTGGACAGTTGGACTTGATGATCTTAGAGGTCTTTTCCAAACTTAAAAATGCTATGATTCCATGATTCTATGAAATTGAGCTTTTTACCATTTCACTGAGACAAATCACTAAAAATCACATGTAGGCAAAGTATCAGCATAGATGAATAAACATTCTGCTCATTTCTGAATCATGTATTTCAGAAAGATATGGCTTTCTATTTAATTCTTTATTTATATAACATCTTGGGTGTATAGTACCACCTTTAGTCTCACATAATAAGGTTTTTTTAGTTTAGTGAATTTTCATCATGGTCTTTAATGCAACAGGCAAAACCATTACTTTACCTTTCTACAGAAATGTTGATATGTCAAAGGAATTTTAACATTTTATTTGATTATTCACTTACTGTGTATATAATTTAATATCTATATTTGGAGTACTGTATTCTCTAAAAGAAGCTGGTATATTCAATGTAATCATCAATTTTTTTTTGTACAGAAGCTCTTGACATAGTAAGAGACATTACAAGTTTATACAGTGAGCTCATGGTAAAGAGTGTAGCTTTAAGAAAATTTTGTTGCAACGGTGAAACCTTTGGCACCGCTGCTAGAATCTTGCATAACTATTTACTACAAGTACAGTAGCTGTACAACTTAATCGCCCTAAAATGGTACACTGGGCATACAAGCTTTGAAGTTTTGAGATGATTCACGGTGCTGTACTTATTTTATGGCTTCATGAACCGAGGAGATAAACACTTTGGCACAGATTTTTTTATTTCAAAGCCACAGAAGTTGCTATTTTCTTAAGATATTATTTTCCTATTTGACCTTCTAGACTGCTTTGTTTGTTAAATTAGGAACAGTGTGTAAAGAGGCCAACAATAGCCACAATTTTACAATGTACTTCAGTGACACCAAACCTCGGGAAAAAAAAGTCAGCTTCCAGTGGAAGGAAAGGAGTTTTATACAAGAGTGTTACACTTAGCTTAAAAAAAAGGAATGGCTCACAATTCCTGTAGTGACATTTAATAAACCTTGCAAAATATCTGCTTTATAATCCTTTTTCCTTTGATTAATGGGCTTGCTGTGGAGATTTATGAAATGTTATTTTAAAAAAAACAAACACCCCTCTGCTTATTTCTTTAGTCTGTTGAAGTGATACTCTAGCTGCTCCTCTGACTTCATAGAGGAAAAACAGAGGAAGCAAGTAGATCTGTAAGCAAAAGAGAAATTATAGCAAGCATCTGGATCTTAC